GAGTGTTCCTGTATGTACAGTTGGTGAAGCCAGAAATCTAAACACATAAAATGTTGTTTTCTGTAAGATAGATTTTGGAGTTTGAGCTGTGAAAAAAAAAGATTTCAACAAAAACTCTTCCCTGAGTATTCCCTTTTTCTGAGATTCAGGTTTGAAGTTTGTTACCCAAACATCATTCAATAAATAATGTAACTGAAGGAGGCTGAAGGCATGAAATAAAGGCATGAAGGAAAAGAGCTGTAGTAAGTTCAATTCTATTATTTATTTCCTTGAAATCAGGAAAAGAAGGAACATTTTTTAAATGTGGCACAGTTATTGTATTTTGGCATGTGGCAGCTTTGACAAAACCCATTGGTGTTTTCTGTGAAGTTCTTCCATCTGTCACGTTTCTACTCAAAGAAAGAGGCATTCAAATAACTGGAATAACAAATCAACTACTTAAAACTAAGTCAACAGTGAATCAAGTCGTGCTGTGAAATAATTATCTTTCTTTCTTTATGTAACTCATATGCCATGGGCCAGCGGCGGCTCATAGCTCACTGTTGCCCCTGGAGATTGACAGCATTTCCACAAGGAATCATAGTTCTCTTGGTTGACTCAAGGATACAGTTGGGTCACCTTTCAGTCTGTCCTTTTTCCCTCCCATTAATCAGGCACCCAAATATTCTGTTACTTTCACCTCCTATTCATTAATGAAGTGCCACTGAAGAGGTGCTTTATCACTGATTTCTCACTGGCAGTACTGCTCTGACCACATCACAGAACTGGTCTAGGCCTCAGACAACGAGTGTTTGCCCAGTGTGGTTTATCCCAGTTAGCAGCCAGCCTTTACTGCGACTGCAACAGCCATCAGCAGTTAGCCTTTGCTGCAACCTTAGTGGTTGCTACTCCAGTTGGCAGCCCGCCTCTGAGGTGACTCTGCACTAACAGGGGGCAACTGATCTGCACTGTGGCTACTAAAGCCTCCCCAGTGTGGTACAAGTTGGCAGTCAATCTCTGCTGTGACTGGTCTGGCAGCCAACTTAGAGTTTATACCAGGGGTTGTGGGCAGTGTGGTGTCCTTGTGGCTAAGGATCCGCGCCTGTGGCTGGAAGGTTGCCAGTTCAAACCCCGTGGCTGGCAGAGGGATCCTACTTCATTGTGCCCCTAAACAAGGCCCTTAACCCCAACTGCTCCAGGGGCGCCTTATAAAATGGCTGATCTTGTGCTCTGACCCCAAGCTTCTCTTCCTGTCTGTGAGTCTCATGGAGACAAATTCCAAATACAAGAAATTGTATATAGCCAATAAACTGATCTCTCTCTCTCTTATCTCTCTACCAGTCTGCTGCAAACCTCTTGTACAGTTTTTCTGCTGCAACTACTATGGCAACGCCATTTCACAGTTAGCTGGCAGCCCACTCTGTTGTGACTGCTGCCATCATTGCCAGTCATCTGCCAGTCTCCTCTGCAACTTCCACTGGAGTTTAATACTACAGCCTTGGCTGTCATTGAAGAGCTTCAGGTGTCGTCAGAAGCCTCTGAAACTCTCCGAGCCCTAGCACCTGGATTCTGCACCTTATGCACAGCAGTGTAAAAACAGTAATAAGATCGAATATACTAATCTAGGGTGAGTGGCATTGAGTGCTCTAGCTACACAACCTCTTGACAAGGCTCTATAATTGTGAACTCTTAAAGGTGAAATGCAACCCTATTTTTATATTTCAGGGTTAGAAAGAATCAGCATTGATGAGTGCATTTCAAACCACAATGAAAGCAAAATGTACACAGTAATGCATAAAACCTCCAATTTACATAAAAAATAGACAAAATTTCCTGGTATGCATAATGCCATATTTCATGATTCAGAATGAGGAAACCAGAGTTCTGGTGATGTGAAGCAGCCTTATTACATTGTAAAGGAGCAGGCTTGTGAATACATCTCTTTTAATCCAATAGAAATATTGCTCTTGATATTGAGATGGTTTTGTGGATGAATACTACTTACTTGTTGACTCTGCATGTAAAAAACGTCTAAGGTGAAATGTCTGCATCCGTGCTTATTTGCTCGATATCACATTACATTAGTCAATACAGTGACTAGTGAGCAGGAAGGGCCACATCACATCACAATTCATGGGAACTCTCACTCTTGCCCAGGGAGAGACCAGGAGTTTGCGACAACATGGTGACTATGCAGTACTTTCACACAATACATGATTTTGTGCTTTTGGAATTTGTCATGTTTTGTGACACTGACAATTAATTTATTTTTTACCAAATTGTTATAACTGGTGTTAGAATTTGGGACTGCAGTCCTCCTCTAACATTCTGATTGTATATTATGAAAGTGGGTCGTTAAAAACAGTCAATATTTAGGCTACAATTGAATACATATTTAAAAATTTGAATTAATCTACAACACATCAAAACAGTGTACAACACAACGTACTTGGCTATTAATGCATTGAAAGGAAAGGCACATAGGGTATTTTAAGCCATGAAGAAGCAACTTCCCCAAAACACCCATCAGAGACCTGGCATAAAATCGTTAACAGGGAGACCAAACATTAGCACAACACTTTATCAAAGTAAATACTGTTCATACAGTTCATGACCCCTTCTTCCAAGATATGGGAGCCAGAGCCTATCTCTGCAAGTAACAGGGAGAGACATGACACCTGTCCAGCACAAGGCAGACACACACTCACACCAGAGTCAATTTTCCCAGATGCCAATTAATCTACCCATATGTTTTTGGACTGTGGGAAGAAATGGGATCATCCCACAGGAAAGCCATGCAAACACAGGGAGAACATACAAACTCAGATGCAGACAGCAGACAGCACCCCAGTTCTGGAACTGAACCCAGGGCTTTATCACTAAGGCAGCAATGCTAACCACTGTGGAACTGTACTGCCCTACATAAGGATATATCTTTGAAAAATCTCATTCCATACTATGTGAAAATTATTTTGTCCTTAGTGTATGACATATTCACTGTGAAATAACCTTCTGTGCTGTTATTAACTGTCTATGAAGGACAGCTAACTTGGGCTTTACAGTTAAAACTTTATGGTTTTAGAAGTTAATAATGCATCAGCAGTACTTTCCTCAAGGTCAATTTCATAGTTTGGAGCATTCTGATTTCATGAAAAAACAAGCAATGCTTCTATGTTTAATTTAAGAAAGGTACTAATAATCAAGTATAATATATTATTTGATTGTTGTAAGGGTTTTTCTGCCCCAAGTATAAGACTCAGTATTTTGTAAAGGGAATCATATGGATTATTGCGGTGCTGCTCTGAGATTTTAGATTTTGAGCCAATCAAATGTCTTCTGTGTGTTGTAAAAAGGCTGGTATGATAATGGTTAAGTGAGGATGTATTACCTCATCATAACCTTTTCAAACATTTTGCACTTTACAATTACTGTATCAAGTTGGTTGCAAAAAAACATAGAATCTTGCACAAATCGAGACAAACTCATGCCCATAAAAAATTACGTTTACACTCAGCTTTTACAACTTATTGTATACAATATTGTATTAAATAAAGGGATACATTACATTTTTTAATAAACGTAGTATTACATTTTGTATATATGTATTTGTCGTAATTACTTCTGGAGTCTGTACTCCACACGTACACTACGTTTTACTACAAAATCAAATGGCTCAACCTAAAACAATTAATTGACAAAAAAAAAGACCTAATCGGAGGTGGGAAGCGCTCTAATGGCCACATACTGTATTCTAACTGTTGAAAACCTGGGAGGAGTCCCCTACTGCACCAATCAGAATGAGCGTCATGACTCCGACCGTCGCCATTGTAGTACTGTACCATTGCAACCCGCACACACGGGAATGAATGTTGGGCGTTTTAAAATTTGCACACAATGTTACAAATAGTGTAATAGGTGAGATCTTCACGTTTGTTGTGTTGAATTTTTGGCACTCACTGGAATGTCATGAGACCGAAGTAGCCATCTCAGAGATCCAAGGTCATACTGCATTGATGCACTTTGAACAGGAATCCTGTGACACTTTGTTTGACTTACTGTATTTACTGTATGGTGCAGGTGCGTGCAACTGGCACGAAACAGCAAACCTGCTCCAATAGTCTATATATATATATTAACAGGTTTATGCTTTTCAGCAGTGGTTTCCAACCCCTGTCCTAGGAGACCACCATGACTTCTGCTTTTTGCTGCCGCGGAGCTCTTGATCACAGGCAAATTGATTTCAGTCTGGAGCAGAAATCGGTTTCTGAGTTTCAGAGCTGCCCTTCTTCAGGGATGTTACCCGAGATGTAATCAGATTGCCGATGAAAAGGGGAAACAAGAAACGCTTGTTCTGGGGTATGTGTGATGCATTGTCACTCCCAATTGTCTCAAGTATATTTAGCACTAGAGGATCACCTGTATGGAAATATAGGACATCTGGATTTAGAAAGGGTGGGTTTGCTTCAAGAAACAATTATTTGAACAAGTAACGACCATAATGGAAACGCCCAGAACGTATGATATGATATATTACAATTTTCCGAGGGCTTTTGATAAATTTCCCCATAAAATATCACTTCCCAAATCGCATTTGCTGTAGTATGCTTTTGGAGATCTGGTTAAGGAATAGAACACAGCGAATACCGATAACGGGTGAAGGCTCGTATCGGGGGGATGCAAAAGTTGGATTACCACAGAGATCTATATAAATCTAAAAAACTAAAATGCTTCATAAGAAAAAAGCCTTAGGTGTTTATGTTAACACAATATTTACATTTTGTAGACAATCAGCAGAAGGAATTCAAAAGACAAACAAATGTTAGGATACGCACTTGAAGCCAGAGAATTTAAATCCAGGGATTTTATATTAAAATTGAGCAATGCACTGGTAAGACGGCTTTTGGAGTTTTGTGTACATTTTGGACACAATTTTTCGGAAAGATATTACAGCAGTGAAATCAGTCCAAAGAAATGTAACCAGATACATTCTATAGCTGAAAGGACAGTCAGAAACTGACCATCTAAAAACCGAAACATTCAGTGTTTAACAAAAAAAGACTTCACTTTCCAGGCTGCGGGAACTACGTATGCGCAGTATTTGTTTAGCGGAAGAACTACAACTCCCAGAGATCTCCGCTTCATCCTTTCATCCGCGGCCGTGTGCTATGGCAGACGATGCTGTCCTGCAGTTATCGGTGCGCACTAACGTTCATATGGATATTTAGAATCATTGTTTTCGTTGTATCCAACTGAGATCTCGAATAACAATGTTTAAAAAAGCAAAGAGGGTAAATTTCCGGCGACGAAACGAGTCAGACGATGAGGAAAATGAAGAGAGCCAACCTCAAGCGCTGCAGCAGCAGTCATGTGGGCCTGCTGACGAGACGTGCCTTCGGGAAGCCGGAGTCAACAATTCAGAGCTCGGGAGCGCAAACGTGCCAGCAAGCGAGGATGTTGTGCACCACGGAAACGGGTTGCAAAGTAATGCTGCAAAACCCAAAGAGAAAAAGAAAATTAAGGACAACAAGGAAGCTCCCAAAGCTAGCTTGTTGAGCTTTCACGATGAGGAAGGTAAGGTGTTGATTCTTTCTGCACGATCTGTCGGTTTAAACTTGCTTTTATTAGCTATAGGCTCCATTTTGTCGGAATACCTGCGGTCACTATACAAAAGTTATTTTAGCAAAAGGATCAGTGTAGCAATTAGGTTAGGTTTTAATACTGAACACCACTGACTGGGGCTCACAATCTATGCAGCTACATCGTGCGATACTGAATGTAGATTGAAATACTGGAACGTTTGCAGTGACTTTTTGTGCAATTTGAATGTAAAAGGTGTATTTTTATTTATATATATGTCAGACTCAACCGAGCAGTTACAACCTGTTTTACACGTCTGTGCGTTAGGTGTGCAACTAATATTATTTAGTGACTTGAAGATTGCGCTGTAAAGTATGAATGAAGAAATCAATCTTTAAACGTGTTTGCTCTTTATTCTTGTGGATCCCAAATATCTGTATTGTGAGTTAAACACGCGGTCAGTGATCCGTTGTGGGTTATGTGGATGAATGCCATTTACCGATGAACAGTATAGTTTTATTAAAACATCAACGTACCACCGTGGTACAACATTATGGTTTTGTTGGAAAACGTCAGTTATGTTAACTCATGAAAGGTCACTACATCCAACTGAGGTTGTAGTGGGAAAACATAGTTTGTTGTAACAAACTAATTGTAGTTCCGGATAGTTATTTCATTAAATGTGACAGCGTGGTACTTTTAAAATTTGTATTTAGTTGCACTGGAACAACAAAGTAACAGGGATAAGGGAAGAGAGAAGTGTTTCTACAACGTTGGGCAAAACAATGTGAAAACCGAAATAGTGTTACACTAACCTAACGGAAATGTTTGTAAAATTAAGAACCTATCTTAAATGCTATTATAATTTTAAAACACCTATTATGTTGCACATAACGTACAATGAAAAACATTGTGAACTAATACAATCTGAAATGCAATACCAGAGTTAAAAGATGAGCTTCCTTGACAAATACATAGTTTCCTCCCCCCAAGTTCAGCTGTAAGAAACGTGTCCTACCTGCTTTGCTTTCCCCCTTTTATACATTAGTGCAGGGGTCTCCAATCCTGACCTTTATTGACCCCATTCTTGTAGGTGTTGCTTAATGTGAACTAATTCTCTAATTATATCAATCATTTTCTGCTTCTGAAAAGGTAAAGCTTTCAAATCACTTCATTTTCCTAACTGAAGACTCCATCAAAGAGGTCCAGTTAGTAAAATGATAACATAGATAAACTAACGTGCATGAAATCAGCTATTAACTGCCTAAATGATCTGATTATTGGAGCCTGTTTAACACACATCTGCAGTTCTTTAGGTACTGGAGCTGTAGAGGGGATTTAAACCTGCTGGATGTCTTCAAGGCTGCAGGTGTGCTTTAGTGACAGTCTGAAAAATATTCAGAAATATCCATGCATCAATGTGAACGACACACATAGAGCTTTAGAAATGATTCGTATTTTCAGAATCACCCACCCTGTAACAACTGGAAGACTGAGCGCTTACAGGTTTATGAATGCCATCAGAGTGTGAGAGAGAACACTTTGAGTTTAAAAAAAATAGGAAAGGAGATCCCAGTGGGCTCAAGCAGTGCAGGTTGAGCCTGGTTCATGTCACTAGGTGAGCAGGACCAGGATTCTCCAAGAAGCACACACTGCTCTGCTTGGCACTGCCTGGGGTAGAGCTGGTATCAGTCAGCCAAGACTGTTTCTACATTCGATTTTTATATTAAACAACAAACCCCAAATTATAAAAAAAACAGAGTTGTGGTTAAATGTAATTACTTTTTTTCAGTGGGGATCTGTAGGTCTATTTTTATTGGGGTTTTTTTCCCATGTCAATGCAGGAGAAAAAGGAGCTGAATCTAGTAGTTCTGTGTAATAGATCCTTTTCTTTATAACATGTTTTTCATCCCAAAGGATCTCAAAGTACTTTCAGTGTAAATAACTTCAACTTTAATTATCAGCTGAATTAAAGGGAACTTTAGGGAGGCCAAATCGAGAAGCCCAGAGTGGAATTTAGCCAGGACACTAGGTGTAATTCCCCTAATTTTACAATCAGTGCTATGGAATCCTTAAAGACAAAGTAGACTGGACTTTCAAAGGAGACCACTTTCTCCAGCACAGTGTGTCTGGTTGCCATACTGAGGCATTGCTTTGGAAGTTCTTGGAAGACATCCACCTACTGCTCCAACACTTCTTACAGCAGCAACCTGGTTTTCCTTAAGAGAGTCCAGTACTGACCATGACCAGCCTTGCTTAGGTTTTGATAACTATATTTGCTGTAATACTGAGATTTTACCTTTTATATTGGTGTAAACATAGTATTACTTTGTGTAATGGTTTGTATTTTAAAAGGGTATAGTAAAATGACTATTTTGCCCTGAGGTGACTGTCAGTGCAGATTTAATTTTGCCATAAAGCCCCTAAATTGAGACTTGGCATGTGTCAGACTACAACTTTAATGTGCTTGAGGACCATCTGTAATCTTGTTATAATTCAGAACAAAGCCACCCAATATCCACTCTAAAGCAAGAATAATTTCAATTATATAGTCCTCATGTTATTGGTAGGTTCATAGTTTCCAACTAATTAGAATTTATGGAGTGGTCTCACAATGCAGCACAATTCAAACACCTCTAAAAAAAATCATTTTGGAAGGTGCGGTGAACATATTTAGGCCAGTAAACACTATACGGTTTCAGTCCCAATGTAATATTTGTTTACTGTGCTGTAATAGTTTTAAGAGTGCTGTTTCTTATGCTTTGGTGTGATTCACTTGCAGACGATACTGAAGTCTTCAAAGTAAAGAAGTCCAACCACAGCAAGAAGATAGTGAAACAGCTGAAGAAGGAGTATAAAGAGGACCTGGAGAGGACTGGGACAGTGAAGCAGGAGTCCAGTGCAGCTGTGGATGGTAAACTCTTAGTCATCAGTGCGAGTCATTTCTTCAAAGCATAGAATGACTTGGGAAATGATTGATTAACTTTGATAACTGGCTACATTATATCAGCAATAATTTAAATTTTGCATTCAGTATCGATTCAGATTTTTGTCCCAGCGAGTCAGCGAATTCCAACTTACGAAGTTATCAATGAAACGATGCAGAATATTCGACCATTTCCTAAGCCGCCATCTTGAAAAGATTTAAATCTAAGTCCTGTCAATTTTCCTCTGGCAGTACACATGAGATGGTGGTACAGAAAAGAAATTACCAAAATCTAGCTGGTGTTATATCTGGTTACCTCAGCGATATTTGTAACCCGGGACAGCCCTTGAAATGAGTTTTCTAATCGAAATGAACTCCCATTTAATTCTCTAAAACTTATTTTCAAGTGGGGGGGAAAAAAAGTTTAATTCTACGTTTGTGTAATTTACTTGATTTTGTTTTTAGATTATTTTTTTACTATGATTTTCAAAGGATGGAGGAAATTTTTACTGTGGACCAAGAAAAAAAAACATTATTAGTTACTAGTAACTTGAGTGGTGATGTGTGTAAATCGTCCTGGGTGTATTTTACAACTAAAGAAAAACCTGAATGGAGCATTTTGCGTGTTCCCATGTGTATGTGAACAAATATGGTCCCATGAACTGCAAGTGGCTCTGCAGTCTGAGACTGTCATCATGGCCCTGTTGTGATGTTTTGTGCAGAGCCCATGACAGTAGCAGTCACCATGAAGGATGACCTGCGGCTGGAGGGAAGCCTTCCTTGCAGCGAGCAGGGGGAGGAGGAGATGGAGGTGGACAGCAATGAGGAGTCTGAGGAGGATCAGAAGACCAGTGCTGGTGGTGCTTTCTCCAGTGCCTTGTCATCACTGAGCACGCTCAGACCAGGTGAGCAACTCCACGGCAACCGTTGGTCTTTCTCACTGCCGGTGAATTCCTAGACTTAATCTGAATGAGCGAATTTCAGCTTCAACAAACTAACCTGCAAAGA